TGATATATATTCACCAAATGAGCATGAAATTCTCGAATTCTATATTCGTGACCACTACAACAAAATTGAGTGTCAAACACTTCAAACTTTTATTTTCCAACTGCCTCCAGAAAACGAGGGTTCGTGAATGAAAATGAATTTTAATTTCTGGCCCTTTTTAGAGTGTGTTTGGTTTATGAGTTTACACACTAGAAATGAGAATTAAAATCATAGTTGGTGTTTGATTGACAATTTTTTAAAACACAATTATTGGATTTGATTTCGCATTTCTTCAATAATTAAAAACCTCACTCCCTAATTAAAAAAAAAAAGTTTAATTCCATCTTATTAGTAATATGTTTTTAAAGTTTGGATTAGTCCTTTTAGATTTTTGTTTTGATTTTTTTTTTTGTTTATGTTGGTACTTTGGATGCCATTATATTATGATCAATCACCTTGATATTTTGTTTTTGTAATTTTAAACCTTTATTTTCATTATAGGTCATACATAACCAAATATCAATATTGGTAATCATTTCAATTCCACCCTACTATCAAACTTGCAAAATACTTTCACCAAAACTCATACCATCATCAGGTATTTGATTCTCATTCTAATTCCGATTCCATGTGCAAACCAAACACACCCTTATAATCCCAGAAGCTGCTTGATGACACGGATCGAAAGTTGCTAGCAAGTTTTTACGATTCTAGTGGTTGAAAATTAAAAGGGATAAAATAAAGAAAAAAAATTAAACATGGCATCAATGGATTTCTCGTGGATGACTAATGTAATTATTATAAGGTCAGAGGTTTGATTATGATAAAAGGTACGTCATATTCATTACAACTATAGATCAAACATTTTAAAAAGATAGATCACAAAAAAAGACAATTTTTTTTCGAAAATTATTTATGCACTATCATATATGACTACTTTTCTTTAATTTTGTTAAGGTTAAAAGGACGCTGGTTGTATCGCCATTTTTGAGGTGGTTCGAATCTGGGATCAAAGAAGAAAGAATAGTTGGGAGGTGTGTTTGGATAATGTCTGGTGTGATTCCTGGCTTTCTCCATCCATCAGTAAACAGAATTTGAAAGATGGAAATCATAATGTCTACTCGTTAAACCAAAGGGAGAAGGTGGCGTGATGAGGATGCATGCCAGCCAGCTTTTGCTTTTTACATACTGTCTTAATTTTATTTTTTTTCTTTGGTGTAAACCACGAGGTGGTCAAAGTCCAAGAGGCACAAAAGCTGACCCAAAGAGAATCATCACTTGTAGGAATCGAATCCGGATTATCTCGGAATTCTCTCCACAAAGAGAGTTGATCATTTGCCACTTAAGCTACCTTATTAGGTTATTGTGTCCTACTTTTGACAATTTGGTTTATTTCCTCCCAAACGCTCCCTAATTGAAGCCTGTACATTTACCGAAAGTTTAGCTGTGAGGGAGAAATCATGGGAAAAAGAATTGTAATTCGGTGAAAAAAAAAACGAGAATAAAGTAAGAACTCAAATTATATTGTTTTTTTGAGGGGAGGGGTACCCAGCTAAACTAGACTCTACAAGCAGTAGTAGCCATCATATCCCAATCCTTGCACAGGATCTCTCTAACAGCCACCGGCGGAGAATGAAATTCAATCCAATCGCAGTGTCTTCTTGGCGCCTTCTTAACCAACCTGTCGGCGACGCCGTTATTCTCTCGGGGTGTGAAGTTGACTGTTACCGTCCAGTCTTTCGCAAGCCACACTTTGCTTCATTTAACTAAAGCGCCATAGTGACTCAATGGCTCAAGACCTTCAGTGAGCCATTCGAATTACATTGTATGATAGTGAAGAATTGAATTATTGAGAATGTGAAAAGAAGAAGTGACATAAAAACTAAAATGCTCTTTTGTAACAATAATAACTAAGGGCAAAAAGGTTATTTCCATTTATTTTTCATTCCTTTCCATGCTATGTTGAATTGAAATTCGTAGGAAGGAGACATGAATTCCAATTTAACAAATGGAGGGAATTGCAATTCTCTCCAACCAAACAGTGTAATTTAGAGTTCAAAAAATTGTGTTGTAATTGCATTTCAATTACACCCAACCAAACATCTCATTATTATGTCCCGTTGAACGTGACACACTGAAACTAATCTTAGTATGTCGGGTAAGATGTAATAAGACACACTCCTTTATGAGGTTTTATGGAAATTATATTCAAACTCGAACTCAAAACATATGGTTAAATTAGTGTAATTTGAATATACTTAACGTATAGTGTAATTTGAATAGGTTATGAATAAAAAGATTCTCCCAACCCAAGTAAAAAGAGTTTACTAAACATGAACAATTATATTACCATAGTGATAGCCTACAAAGATTCCTTTTATCATGAGACACGGTCTTTGATCATGGGACCCTGGAAGGGATCAATCATCAATCTCCACCCATTAATTTTACCTCGAGATTCTCACATTCTCTCATCTTCGTTTAAAATAAGATTACCATTTTGGGTTTTTGTTGAATGGCCAAACTCAGAGAATGTTGGATTCCCTCTTGAAAATGAAAACCACTGTTCAATGTTTTGGTTTTACCTTAAATTTTTCTTTGTTATTGCATGTATAAACAATGTAACTGCCAGTGTATATCTTGCCCATGAGGGCATTCTTTTATCTTATATATATATATATATATATATATATATATATATATATATATATATATATATATATATATATATATATTATGGAAACTTGGGTAAAACCGTTTTAAATTTTCACTAAATGATAATGTTTGTTTCTTGAAAATATTAGTCAATAGGTAATACTATTTTATTAAAAATATAATACTTGTTAATACGAATAATTTAGTAGAAACACAAATATAGATACGCTAGCACAACATCATCTAGTTATTATGATGAGGTCACTCGACTAGGGTTTCATGTTATTGAGCTCCGGCCCGAAGGACTGCAACTCCTGTTATTTGAGGATCTTATTTAGTGTGGTTTTGTCACGATTTATCTAACTATTAGACTTTTGGTTTTGTTGTATTACGACATTACATACAAATTAAAGTATTACATTTTCGTTAAAAATATTACCTATATGAGATAGGTAGTATCACACAGTACATGATGCATTACCCCAATAATGCATTCTTGAACAAGATGACAAAGTATGTATCAAAGCATCAGACCATCCAACTATAAAGCTGGACAGACAATCAGACACAAGACTGTAAAAGGGATTTTCTTGATATCCCCCTAGTAACAAGTTTTGAATTAGATTAGAATGATGTTAAACAAATAAGCATTAGTGTGCATAATGCTGCTGAGGAATATGCTTTATTGAAGATAAAAGGAAAAGGAAAAAAGTTACTGAAATTGCCAAAAAGAACTTTGGGATAATAATAAAATATATAATGTTTTCCTTACAAGACCACTGTCCCAATGACAGGCATGCTGGTTCTCTCTTTTACACAGACTGCTTTTTCTTTTCTCTTGTTTTCTTTTCTTGGGTCTGATAAAGATAGCAGTATAATTGAGTTACTGACATGCTTAGAATGCTAAGATTGTTGAGACTCCCAGATTCCTCAAAACCCTCATTTGAAGGAGGGATGACTCACTGAGTTCATAACACTGTAGCTTCTGTTTTCTGGATAATCATTTGAGTGGAGATGAGGAGAGAAGCAAAGGGTGTGTATTGGTCTCTGGGATTTCTATTTCTGTGTTTTTTGGGCTCTGCAGTTAGTGTGCTGTCCCCCAAAGGTGTGAACTTTGAAGGTAAACATTGTTTCTATTGATTGAATCTTGCATAATCTGCTTCAAATATTGAAATCAATAAGAAAAATATATATATAATCTTTGGGTTTAATTTCCTTTCTGTGTTCAGTGCAAGCTTTAATGGGGATAAAAGCTGCTCTAAAGGATCCCCATGGTGTTCTTGATAATTGGGATGGGGATGCTGTTGATCCATGTAGCTGGACTATGGTCACTTGTTCTGCAGAGAGTCTGGTTATTGGACTGTAAGTTTAATCAAGAAAAACACCCCCCCATTTCTTTACAGACAACCTTAAATTCTTGCCTGCAAATCTGAAATGAAGATCAAGAAAGTGTTCTAATGTAGGTGATAGGGTGTGTTGTGCAGGGGAACTCCCAGCCAGTATTTGTCTGGAACTCTTTCTCCAAGCATTGGGAATTTGACAAACCTCCAGATCATGTAAGTTTCTTGGCTCAGAAATGGTTAAAGAAATCAGTAAATATGTTTAAAAATGGCTTCTTTTTTTATCATTCTGGTGTTCAAATTATCAAATATAGTGTGGTTTGACAGACTCTTGCAGAGCAACAACATAACAGGACCAATCCCGGTAGAGATTAATCGCCTCTCGAATCTTCACACACTCGATCTTTCTAATAACATCTTCACTGGTGAAATCCCTCCTTTGGGACATTTGAAAGGCCTCAAGTACTTGTAAGCACTTGACAATTAACCAAACATTACTGAGTAGAATTGGAATGGTTCTCTTCTTTTTCAAGAACGTAACTTTGATCGAACGTTTATATGTTTACATTGTTTCTTGGATTAGGAGGCTCAACAATAACAGCCTGTGGGGGGAAATCCCAGCGTCGCTGACAAACATGACTCAGCTTTCTCTCGTGTAAATTAAATCTCTCAATTCTTGGCTCAGATCGCCTTGTTTGCTAAACCTCTGCACGGAATGGATAACCTCGGTTTCTTGTCTTCTAATTCAGGGATTTATCATACAATAACTTGAGTGGACCTGTGCCAAGGTTTCCTTCCAAGACAATCAAGTAAGCTAGCTGCTTCATTGGATTCAAACAGTTGGTTGATTCAATGATTCCTAGTTTTCTTGGAATGAAATTAAATCTGAGGTTATCCTGTTCTTTCTGCTCTCTTGGTTTATGTTTGCAGCATTGTTGGAAATCCTCTTATATGCGCCACAGGCTCCGAACCACACTGCCATGGAACCACGCTGCTGCCTATGTCAATGACATTGAATGGTTCTGAAGGTACTTGTCAGAGTAATTAACTAAGATGTTTTCATTAATTTTTGGAAATTTATTCAGCTTGAAGTTAAATAAACCAGATTATGTTATTATCAGCTGCTCTAACTTCGAGAAAAGAGAAAAACCATAAACTTGCAATCGTCTTTGGCTCGAGCCTCGGGTGCATCTGTGCACTCCTCCTTGGAATTGGGCTGTTTCTATGGTCAAGGCAAAGGCAAAAACAGCAGACACTGTTTGATGCAAAAGGTTGCTGGCCTAATTCTTGGTTAGTTAATGTATGACTATATCATGTTTGGTTGATTAATCAAAGTTCATATGATTCGAATGTTTAGGCCGGGATCATGAGGAAATCTCCCTTGGGAATTTAAGGAGGTTTCAGTTCAAGCAGCTTCAGACTGCCACCAACAACTTCAGCAGCAAAAACATCCTGGGAAAAGGCGGTTTTGGGAACGTCTACAAAGGTTATCTCCCGGATGGAACTGCAGTGGCTGTGAAGAGACTAAAAGACGGAAGTGCTGCCGGGGGTGAGAAGCAATTCCAGACAGAAATCGAGATGATCAGCCTGGCTGTGCATAGGAATCTTCTTAGGTTGCTGGGATTCTGCATGACTGCAACCGAAAAGCTTCTGGTTTACCCTTACATGTCCAATGGTAGCGTCGCTTCTCGCCTCAAAGGTAGCAAAAGTACTATGAATTGACTCTTTGTGCTTCAGTAGGTTGAGAAAGTAGTTATGAACAGATACTGTATCAATTGATTACTTATTATTTCCTCGATCACAGTGAAGCCAGTATTGGACTGGTGCACGAGGAAGCGAATCGCGATAGGAGCTGCAAGGGGACTAGTATACCTCCATGAACAATGTGATCCCAAGATAATCCACAGGGATGTGAAGGCTGCAAATATACTACTAGATGACTACTGTGAAGCAGTGGTGGGAGATTTCGGGCTGGCAAAACTTCTAGACCACCAAGATTCTCATGTTACAACAGCTGTACGAGGAACCGTCGGGCATATTGCCCCAGAATATCTATCAACAGGCCAATCCTCAGAAAAAACCGACGTTTTTGGGTTTGGAATCCTCCTCCTGGAACTAATCACAGGCCTGAGAGCCATAGAGTTTGGCAAAGCAGCCAACCAGAAAGGCGCCATGCTCGACTGGGTGAGTGAGTTACTCTATAGTCTATATCGATGTGTTCTGTCTCGACTAAAAGTACATTACAATATTTACAGGTAAAGAAAATTCATCAAGACAAGCAACTTGATGCACTTGTGGACAAGGATCTGAAGAACAGCTATGATGGGATTGAGCTAGACGAAATGGTGCGTGTTGCATTACTGTGCACCCAATACGTTCCGGGCCACAGGCCGAAGATGTCTGAGGTGGTTCGAATGCTAGAAGGCGACGGGCTTGCAGAGAGCTGGGAAGCATGCCAGAAAGTAGAGCCCAGTAGTAAGTACAAGATCCAAGAACTCTCCTCATCGGACCGATTCTCTGACCTTACAGTTGATTCGTCGTTGCTTGCACAAGCCATGGAGCTCTCCGGTCCGAGGTAGACTGGAATGTTGTTTCAGTTTACACCACAAAATCAAGAATTCTCTGAGGACTGTATAAGTCATCATTAAGGTTGTTTAGTTTTAAGCTGTATAGTAAGTATATCATAGTCTTTGGAACATTGAAAGGTTTTGATGAGGTTTTATTTTGTTTTTGTTTTTGGTTGTATAGATAAGATCCATATTATATATTGAAAAGAATTCATTATGTTGGTCAAGTAATTGGTTTGATAACTATAAAAATTTTAAGTTCGACTTCTTATTGAAGCTATCTAATATAGAGATATAATGAAGAGTGCATTTCATGAAAAGAGAAAGAGGGCTTAAATAGCCAAGCATACAACTGAAACACCAAAGTCTGTGAACAATTATTAGACCTATTCTAATCTTACAAACTAGGAAGAACTAGTCCATAAAGTAAACTAAATTATATTAAAATATATTATGCCTTCTTATCTAATAGCCTAGTTGAATCAATCAGTTATGAATAACCTATAATGGTTTGTCTTTGTAGCTCTTTACCAACTAGGGTCATAAGGTAGACTTCACCCAAAACGCACATTTGAATAGTAACAATAGACTTTTATAAATCCAAAAGAATAAACCATAATAGATAAACCCTAAACATCAAACTACTTACGTTTAAATACAAGAATCATGTTTCATTCAACCATATTTTTATTTATTTATTTAACTTAAGCCCACAGGACCTCGTCCTTAGAGCCACTGCGGAGGTAAATCGCAAGTCAGCAAGTCGCGCAATCAGCCCATCAATCAGATCATAGTTTTCATGTGCGCGCAAGGAATCCAATCCAGACCTTCCATCATCTTTAAACATTTTTTCTATACATGTTTCTAGATTTATACTTCCACATTACCGCCTCCCGTCATGACCTTTTAAGTCAAACGATAAACCAATTATACTAAATCCCGTGCCACAACTTATTTATGTCTTTTCTACTCATTTGGTTGTACAATCTGCAGGAGGGGTCAATAATGTTGAAATGATAGTAAACTAACTTCAACTACTGTTGGCATTTAAGTAGGAATGATTTCGTACCAATTTAATACTGCATATAACCTGACGTGACAGCTGCAATAAATGTGTCATGGTGCATGTACATGTAACTAGTGATTTATATTTGAATCTAGTTAGAACATTAATATCATTTGGGGATATTAAATGATTATTATAAGAGTGATTAGGAAATAAAATGTGGAAAAAAAAAAGAATAAAGTTGAATTTTATAAAATAAAAAAATAAAAAAATTAATGCGTCAGGCGCGCCTGAGGCGCCATACGGACGCATGCAATGAACGCGTTCGTGTTGCCTATTTGCCTTTGGCTGTGCGCAAACACGTATAGCATTTGTTTTTTTTTTTTTAGAAAATGGTCAAATAGACCCCTAAACATTATCCTAAAGGTCAATTAGCCTCCTAAACTTTAAAAAATGTTAATTAAACACTCAAACATGTTAAATTTGGTCAATGAAGCCCAAAAACCGATAAATGACCCATTATTACAGGTCATTTTAATTCCGGCGACGAAATCTGGCCACCGGTGACAGATTCCGGCGACCGGCGAATTTTTCCGAGGTCGGCGAGATTTTCCGGCCGTCCGGTCGTCTTCCATTGGAGAAGACGACCGGACGGCCGCCTTCTCCAATGGAGAAGGCGGCAGACGCTTCTCCATTGGAGTGGAAGACGATCGGACGGCCGTAAAATCTCGTCGGCCGCCGGAAAAATTCGCCGGTATCTGTCACCGGTGGTCGGATTTCGTCGCCGGAATTAAAATGACCTGTAATAACAGGTCATTTATCGGTTTTTGAGCTTCATTGACCAAATTTAACATGTTTGAGTGTTTAATTGACCTTTTTTAAAATTTAGGGGGCTAATTGACCTTTAGGGTAAAGTTTAGGGGCTTATTTGACCCTTTTCTCTTTCTTTTTTTTTTTCTTTTTTCTTTTTTGACATTAATCGAGTCTTTACAGGAAAATTATTTTCTAAAATAACCCCACCTCACATTTGCTATTAACCCTACACAAGTTAAATGATCTAATATTAACCCCCATTTCACCCCTGATGTAGATGCTCTTATATAAGTCTACCCAAAAATTAATAAATAAATAGATAATAAAAGAGTTTTCTCCTTTATATAGTCTCAAACAATCACTCGACCAAGTGTATACTTCGCGTTGACAACTATTATTTAATGTGATGACACATTTAATTACAAGATCAAATTCCTGTATTGAGCATTGATTTTTTGGGTTCAATCTAATTCGAATTTGATACAAACACATAAACTGTTAACTATAAGTACAAAATATGTGAACTGCAGACATATAATTTTTAGATATAAATTGCAAGATGAATCATAGTCCATACCTCCATGGTATAACAATTGCAATTCTTCTAATATAATCCGTACTTGTGTAGTAATAATCTTTCTGAAAATGTCTGCTGTGGGCTGGGCTTACCAGAATTTGGGCCTAGGCTTGAGATTGAGCAGAGAAATAAGCTTGGACTCTGAGAGGACAGGCCCATTACCTCAAACTGACTTTTCTTCCTCTTCTCACTGCAATCAAATAAGCTTTCGAAACAGTCCGATCAACGGTGCTAGGGCAGGTAATTCTCCAAGAACTCTCTTTTCATAAACCTGTAGTTTACTCGTTTAATTTTTTGATTAAAAGTGTTTACTTTTCCAATTAATCAGATTGTTCGGGTCTCGGCGACTGAGAATGGAGTGCGTAGTTCAGGGAATTATCGAGACGCAAGTAAGCTTCTCTTTTGAGCTGGATTATGCAAATAATTTTTTTTTTTCTTTCATTTTTATTTATTAAGTTCTGTATAAGTATTTTATGGAATTCGCTCCACCGAGTTGCATTTTCAGTGTTCTAAGTCAAGCAGTGCTATAATTGAGTTTCAGTGGCTGCCATATAACTGATAATTTAGTATCAATTTTGTGTGATTTTTTGAATCTTAAGTTCCCCGTTTCTCTGTGGCTATGCATTAATCATGTAGTGTTTTAGAAGGATAAGCTTTTTCCTTGTTGATTTCGAATTTTCTTTAGCTCTGGGAGTTTTGGTTGACCCTAATAAATAATGGAGTCTTAAGTTGGGAAAATTTGAGCATTGGCACTATGGACTGTTTTATCGTTTATAATAAATATTGCATAATAATGTATGCTGATGCTCTAATTAGTTTTATGGGAGGTAAAAAGTGATGGCTAAGGAAGAATTCATGGATGCATCACCAATTTTGGTGGAGTGAAGGCTGGGATTGTGGAAAAGATGCCTGGGGATTAAAGGAAAGACACCGGTGTGTTTAGTAACCTTGGAAAATTGGAGAAAAATTTTGGAAAAATAGAAAATGTGTTCAACAAATTCTCTCCAAAGGGATGAACAATGCCCATGTTTTCCAGTTTCCTTCACAAAGTTGAAAAGCAACATTTTATTTTTGGGTTTTCCAAATGGAAAACATGGCTCTCCATTTCCTAGCTTTAGCTGTTTTATTTATTTATTTTAAATCTCTCTCTCTCTCTCTTCGTTTTTTGTTCTCTAGTCTTATGGCAAAAGAGAAGTGAAGAGAGATTACCTTCTGAATCTAAGTTAGGGTGGCAATGGAGGAGAGTTGAGATATGACCACCTTCTCCTTCAATTGAGATACAAGAAAGTGGAGAGATTGAGAGAGAGAGAAATATGAGGGAGAGGAGATTTGAGAGAGAAGAAACTAAGAGAGTAGGCATTGAGGGCGCTAAGAGAGAGAGAGAGGGGGGAGGTGAGTTGGCTGAGGGAGGAAATGGTAGGGAACATGTACAAGGTTGGAGATTTGGGCTTTGAGGAAATTGGGCAGCTCAAAAAAAATTGGGGCTGTTTTTCCATTTGGAAAAGGAAAGAGTAGGAAAAATGGAAAATTAGAATATCAAAATGGAAAATAATTTTCATACTAAACCAGCGCTACATGCCATCCAAAAGAATAAATAAATGCTGCGAGGCATGGTTTGGTTTACCCTACGAGGCTAAGCTCTATGATTGATGGAGTGATAATTGTGCTTGGGGGGTATTAAGGAATGATTTTGAAAGAGGCTGATATCTGTGTTGTGATACATGGAATTGCCCATGCTTAGTAACAATTGTATAAGACATCACATTTATTGAAGTTTTGGCTACTAGTGCTGGTTAGTTTCAGATTTTTCCTGGCATCACTTCATTCTCTCACATTGTGTGCTTCATTTTAATCATTTATTTCCTTTGCAGCATGTTGAGGCTCTTGAGATTCTACTTCACGGACTTTGTGGTGTTCGTAAAGAAAGGCTATGCATACATGAATTATGCCTCAAAAGCGTTGCAAACCTAGGTGAATGTTACTTTCTTTTCTAACTGCTGTGGCCTTGAATCTGGAATGGTACTTGCTATCATCTATTTATTTCTTGATTGCTTCAGTCTACCACTTTATGTTAATTTTGACCTTCAGTTAATTTTTTTCTCCTTCTGTTGTACATTTAGAAGGTTTGTACCAATATATTCTAACCTTCTGAGAATATTATTCACTGGTGTTGATAAAGTGCATATAACTTGCTGTATACTCGCCTCAGTATTAATTAATTTACATATTACATGTGCATATGATTGACGCCACTGTGACAGTATTCTGTTTCCAATATAATAACTTTGCATGTGCACGACCCCTCTCCGTTAAATCGATATATATATATTTTTTCAGAACTGTAACTATATGCTCTTTCCCCCCAAAACTTTTTGCTAGAGCCTTACTTTCTGCTAACAAAGTTCACTTGATATTTTTCAGGGTTAGTGTCGTCGGAAATTCGCCTCATATGTGATCTTGAACAATCTGAACCCACATGGTAAGACTTGCAGTTTTTCATCAGTCATGCTTTTAGACTGTTTTAAGTTCCCGCTAAAACCAATTGTCAGGACTGTTCGACATGTGGGTGGTGCAATGAGAGGTGCTGTTGCTGATCAGATCTCAGTCCTGGTGAGGCCTGTGGTGGAAAGTAAGGTGAGCAAGAATGCACTCCGGATTCTTAATTCACTTGGCTATAAACTAGACCACGAGCTCTTGAGAGTTGGTTTTGCCTTCCATTTCCAAAGAGGTGCCCAGATAACTGTCACGGTGTCATCTATAAATAAGATGCTGAAGCTGCATGCCACAGACGAGGCTGTACCTGTAACACCGGGCATACAGCTAGTCGAAGTGACAGCACCCTCATCATCCGAAAACTACTCAGAAGTTGCTGCTGCTGTATCATCATTTTGTGAATATCTTGCACCGTAAGTTCCCCTTCCATTCTCAGTTTCGAAGTAGTAAGAAAACAAACCCCATTCAATCTTGCTACAAGCGAATAACTAAATTTGGCTCTTAATATCTAATATATGTGAGATCGTTATTGTTGTCCATTTCTTTGTTATATCTGATACTTTTAAATCTTTGACACTGTTGATCAATTATATATCATCATCCTAATTTATAATACTATTATTTCATATTATGTTCTGAATGGTGTTTACTTGTTCACCATTGGCAGGCTCCTCCATTTGTCAAAACCAGGCAACTCAACAGGGGTGGTTCCTACCGCCGCCGCAGCTGCTGCATCTCTGATATCAGATGGCGGAGGCACAAAACTGTAGTGCCCGCAGATATACAATCAAAAGAAGCTTTAATTTCATTGCCACAAAATTCCCAACAGCAAATGCCTATTTGAATGAACAGATCAGATAGTTTTGTGAGAGAGCACAAATACCATTTTATGGGACGTGTACTATTTTCTATCGATCTTATATGTAAAATACTATATTTTGTTCAAAAGTATTACATGTATGTTTTACATAAATTTGTAGATATTAGTATTGAACCAAGTCAATCGTTTAGCCAGCTACCAGTTTTTTTGAATAATATTTTCTTTTGAATGCTACTGACTCTATTACATTGTAGTATCTGTTCAAATATACTTTCTCATCATAATGAAGTACACAGAGTCAATAATGTCTCCACTGAGTTGGTTGTACCGAGCTGCTTTTTAAATGGTGAGTGTATTTAATTATATAGTACAACTAAGACTTGTAGCAGATTGGTGGCACCCTTATCTGCATGCCACTTGCCACATGCATGCAGACTTGATCTACGTGGCGCATTCCCCCATTATCCACAGCGTTTCATAACTGGAAGCGTATGTAGAGCGAGGCGGCGGCGTGTAACATATATAGATATCTACTAGAGTATATATACAGAGGCAGTCATATACTCATGTCATTGGTCGAAGACGAGAAAAGAAGCAAATTAAAGCAGGTAGGAATTGAAGAAGAAGATCGAAGATGTCAGGAGCACAAGGAGCGCAGCCAAAGGAGTCGAGAACCGCAACAACGTACGAGTCGGTTCCGCAGGAAGAGAACAAGACGCGACTTGACATCCGGTCCCGCGAGGACGAGAGGGGAATTGAGGTCGACAAGATTCAGGACAAGGTTGCAGATGCCGCCGGCAAAGGAGGTCCCGTCTTCGGCGCCGGCAAGGACGATGACAAGGACGACCTCGGCCTCACCGGCACCGGCACCGGCTAAACAAACGTTTTGTTATTTAACAATCCTGCATGCGATCCATTTTCATGCATGTAAATCTATCCGTCGTCAGTTTGCGTGTACGTGCATGCTAAGTTGATCTATCGGCGCCATAGTTTTGTTGTTTTTTGATAAACTTGTATGTTACGGTGGTAATAAAAAAAATACTATGAACTATATATTCATTTTGAAGGTTATTGAAAGATGATTTTGGGTACAGGGTTTAATTTCGTTATCAGTGAATCACAGTGATGGCCCGATGGGTCCAAAAGCCACGTGAGTTGCGCATGGGAAGCTAGCCCCCCCATGCCATTCAACTTGTGGCTGAGCTGGCCCGATACTATAATCCACTTCCTCAACTCACTCATCCAACTCAGCTTTTCTTTGAATGACTCCCATGCTGCCACCTCACTCTTATCCAAAATCCAATACTTTGCCCTCTCAATTCCATATCAAATTAAAGAATGTAATATATTACATTATATATGTCCACATGTGCTACCAATTTTATACTTTCAATTTTTTCTTAAAAAAAATTACATTATTATTGGCGAAGCACTTCGTACTCAAATGACATATCGAGCTTCAGTGGAGGCATTTCATCAGATTGAGAAAGTAGGTTTAAACAGATACTACAATGTTAGCATTCAAAAAAAAAGTTAAAAAGATGAGTCAGCAGAGGACGTTGTGTTTTAAGCGATAAACATGGAGATGGAATAGAGTTAGTTCGTGAAGTGTCACAGCAGCTGTGTACACCCAACCAATTGATTCCAAAAGCCAAAGGCCACTAGGCCCCACTTAGACTACTACATCCACCCCTTGGGTCCCACCAACCTCTCATCCAACCACAAGATTTTCACTCTCCTTTTCCCGAACCACTAATTCCCCGACACGTGTCACCTCTGGATTCTCTGCCCTTTACTGTGCCCATAAGTTCACATTCCACATTTCCACCATAATCCGCCATAGCTTCAAAAGCTTAGTTAGTTCCAAAACAAAAGAGGAGAAAAACTTGTACGGTGTATGTGTTAAAACTCTGAAATAATGTTGGCCGAGGAGAAAGGCTATGGGAGTTTAGATTTGGAAGTAAACAAGTGGGCCCGCGTATGCGACGTCTGCCGCTCGGTGACCTGCACCGTCTACTGCCGGACCGACGCGGCGTACCTCTGCGGCGGCTGCGACGCCCACATACACCGGACGGCCACCGCCCACGAGCGCGTCTGGGTGTGCGAGGCCTGCGAGCGCGCGCCCGCCGCGTTCCTCTGCAAGGCGGACGCCGCCTCGCTCTGCGCCACCTGCGACGCCGACGTCCACTCCGCCAACCCCTTGGCGCGCCGCCACCACCGCGTCCCGATTCTACCCATCCCCAGCACCCTCTACGGCCCTCCGGCCACCGGCGCTGTAGGCTCCGTCATGATCAGACCCACCGCCGGGGACACCCCGGAAGACGACGACGACGAATTCTTGACTCACGACGCCGGCGAAACCACCATCGATGAAGACGACGAAGACGAAGCAGCTTCTTGGCTGCTGCTTAACCCCACACCTGCCAAGAACAACGACAACAACAACAACATAAAAGAAGAAAGTGAGAACGCCTGCATAGATCTTCTGGAGTATAGTTCTTGCCAAGAAAACCAGTTCAACGATCATCACTATAACTTAAACCAGCCGCACCATTACTCTATCCCGGAGAAGAATATGAGCTATGGAGGAGGGGATAGCGTCGTCCCCAACAAAACCCACCTCCAGTATTACACCCACACCCAAACCCACCATGGAAGCTTTCAGCTTCAGGGAATGGAATATGAAACCTCCACCCCCGGATATGGCTACCCAGCATTCATCAGTCACAGCGTAAGTTTTCATTAATGGTTTATGCCTGATTAAATTGAACAATATGTTCCGTCTTGTCTTAACTATAAGCTCATAGTTGAACTGCACATTTATGTTACGTCCCTTATGTGGGTTGAGGTTTAATAAAAGCCTAATTTGATAGTTGATAAGTTTGATTGGAAATTTATGTTTATATATTATATGCTGAAGAGATGGAATTGTGTATTCTTGGTACCAGGTTTCTGTTTCCTCGATGGATGTTGGAGTTGTTCCAGAGTCAACTACAAGCGATGTTTCGATCTCCCATTCAAGGCCGCCAAAGGGCACCATTGATCTCTTCTCTGGTCCTCCAGTTCCGATGGCGTCGCAGCTGGGTCCGATGGACAGGGAGGCCAGAGTTTTGAGGTACAGGGAGAAGAAGAAGACGCGGAAGTTCGAGAAGACAATCAGGTACGCATCTAGAAAGGCGTACGCGGAAACCAGGCCGAGGATTAGAGGGCGGTTCGCGAAGAGAACAGACGCGGAGGGGGAAGTTGACCAGATGTTCTTCGCCCCATCAATGGCGGAAAGTGGATATGGCATTGTTCCATTGTTGTGAATCCAGGAGGAGAAGATTAAAGCTATTACTTTTTTTGTTGTATTAGAGTTATTACTTTTACAGTTTTACTGTCTTTTCATCATTGATCTAGCTATGGAGTGTATATGAATAATGAGATGCAATTGGGAGTTATTCAATTTTCTATATATGTTTTGTTGTAAATACCTGCAGATACATGTATTCATTATACTCTGAGTAAATCAAGTTATTGGTGACAGGTTTTCTACTTCATTTTTAATTTAAATCTAAGGTTACAAATTTGACTCTGGGCGGAGTGATTTATTGACTTTCTTAGTTTAAATCAGTTAGCTAAGGACAATTTTGAATGATTTATTTTGGCAAAGGATGCAACATACGGATGCAAAAATGACGTCGTTTTGCATCAAAACGCGCGTCCTACTTTAAAAAAAAAGTTTCAATTCCCAACAACAACATTATGTTGTTCATTTTTTAGTTCATTCATTCTGAATTTTTAGTTATGAAATTATGGATGTGTAGGTATGCAATTTTGAATTTATAGTTATGAAATTATAGATGTGTAATTATGCATGGTGTAGTTATGCAATTCTAGATTTTATAATTATGAAGTTATGGATGTATAGTTATGCAATTCTGGATGTATATTTATGAAGTTATGGATGTGTAGTTATGCAATTCTGGATTTATAGTTATGAAATTATGGATGTGTTGTTATGTAATTCTGGATGTATAGTTATGAAATTATGGATGTGTAGTTATGCAATTCTGATTTTTTTTTTTTTTTAAGTTAGACGTCAAAACAACGTCATTTTTGCATCTGTATGCACCATGCATGGTGCATACGGATACACAGCATAACGATTGATTTATTTTCTTGTGGTCATTTACTAGCTAACTGGCTAAGGTCACTAGGCGGGATTTACCTAGTTTATACTCTCGAATAATGACTACGAATTTCATTCGTCACTCAAAAAGAGATGATCAAGTGGCTCTGAAAGGGGTGACTAAGTGAATGGAGCAGAATCTTGTATCAAAAAGTAAGGAGTTCGATTTTCTTAGTGTTGTTTACTTCTCTTATGTGGTTTGCAGACGATAGATTCCTTACACACTCTTGTGTTGTGATTGTGGATTTCTTATTATTGTATCATGGAGTATAGTTCACCTAAATTTACTTTTAGTATATTGAAAGGTTGTTTCTAATGTACTACATATTATTTTTTTTAGTATTGTTTTCTATGAGACTTTGAACATTCTGACATGGGAGAGGGTAGATGGACATAGAACTCAAAACTCTGTTATCAAAACTTGTCTCATTTTTGGGAAATTTAAAGCTGTAAAGTACTTATCATCTCCAATAATAAAGAGCTATATATGATTCCTTTAAAAATCTACTTTTTTTAGGGATGCATTTGAAGCACTTTTAGTATATGCAATTGGATATTAATTGATGAGATATTGTGAAGATATAGCAGATGCTATTCCTTCTTCTGTTTAATATCTCAGGAATGACATATAACTTTGGAATAAAGTTATTTGTTTTGCCTCAAACCGGTATATATGTAACAACACCCTCAAAAGAGTTGTTCATGAATATAGATTGATATGAACTCATGTTTTAACTACACTACAAAAGCAATTTCATTAATGTAAATTTGACAGAAGTCTTATATATTAGCTCAGATTCTCATTAATAACCGATGTGGGACGCATCATGAGTGGTGATAGTCTTGGTAGGATTACTAGGATAAACTGTACTGTTACCCCTACTAGAGGTTTCCATTTCATATATGCATGTACTTTAAGGGAGCGTTTGATTCAGGTTATATAACATAACCAAGAGATTGTGACATTCCAAAGCTCATATCCCTATGTTTGGTTACTATTATCTTAGGGAATCTAAGATTTCCAAGGAACGTCACATTCCCTCCACATAGGATTTGAAGGGAATGTGATTCCCTTCAATTTTTTAGGTTATGTAAGATAACCTTGTTACCTTGGTTATGTTTGTTTATTATATATATATATATATATATATATATATATATATATATATATATATATATATATATATATATATATAATTATATATTTTTTATTTTTATTATGTTATGTTAACATATAAAATAATTTTGTTTCAAAAGTGTAAGATTTTAGTTAATATTTTAAAATCATGTAATTATATATGATATCATTAATTTTTAAATTTATTAAAATATATGAAAATATGTTAAGTATATTATAGTGTGTGTATAAAAGATAACCCTAAACCAAACATGATTATATTACATACCCCAATTTCAACAAAATACAGGAATCTAACATTCCCAGCAATCTAACATTCTCTAAGGTAATCTGACATTTCGTGAACCAAACCACCCTAATTATATTCTGCTTATCTTAACTTGTGAGGCAGCTAGCATTCACTGCACTGAAATGAAATAGAACCTGTGGAAAGGAGGTGGATCTGGGACCAGTGAACAAGTGGTGATGAACATGAAATCTGTATTGATCAAACAACACTGCTAAGTGGTATCTGATCTGCCACTTAATATTTTGTGAACAATGAGCTCCATCAAAGCATATTGCACTTTTCTCTTTTAGGTTTTGAACTTTTGTAGTAATATAATGCAAAAGATAAAAGCAGATAGATGAGATTCCATTGCAGATTGCACAAGAACAGAATTGAAGCTTGGCTTGGCTTGCCCCTTCACTTTTCATTCCTGATAGATCCTTAAAGCTAAGGGCTTTATGTATAGTATCTGATTTTGCCATTTCATTTGCTGAACACCACAACTCTTTTACACCTCAAAAGCCTTCATTCATCAACACCACTCATCCATCCCGGCCTGTTATATATATATTCTACCTTCATCCAAACAAGTGAAATGCATGTGAAAACACCAAGGAATTGAATCTTTAAAGGGTTCATAGAACAAAGGACAAGCTAGCTACCACACTCAACTGAACTGTCCACCTTCAATAATGGAACTTTAAGCAAAATAAGCACAATGAAATGTGAAAAGGTAAGTCTTATCTCTGCAGGGAATAAATAATGTCAAAAAAAATTGAAAATTTTTGAGGCTGCAATGCTTGATGCCATGTATGCTCCACCCCAGTGACCAAAGTGCATGCTCTTTATGATCCAAACAAACCCCAAGTATCTATTTCTTGTCTGCCATTTGTTGAGTGATCATAATTTTTTATTTTTTATTTTTATTTTTTTGTGTTGCAGATAACCACTAAACCAATCTCAACATCTATCCTACTTCTTGTAAGATCAGATGATTTAACTTTAAACCTCAATTCATTCATTTGGAAGAGATTAGATTATAACTGATGAAGTCAACAATCAACCTTTAAGGGAAAACCCCAACCAAGTTGGTCAGGTTGTTGCCTTGGTAACCACAAAGTTCTAAATTCAACTCTTAGTTGAATCGGGCTGGGCCTATTAGTTTTCTTTGTTTGAGCATGTGAAATTAAATATAAACAACTTAGGCTGGTTTGTCTCCTTGTGGTCCTTTGTCGGTTAGAGTTACTAGGTGGGATTTACTTTCTTATAGTCCTTTGTCGACTAGGGTTGCAAGGCGGACCCAGTTTACATACTCATGGAGCTCTCTCAATTGGGGTACCTAGTCGGCCTAGTAAGCATCGTTACATTGCATCTGGCGAGAGATACGAGGTCAAGGTGGGTGTTTTCGCTGCACGCGACTTTGTAAGAGAAGAAGTAGTTAGAATGAGCACACCACAATCTACTTTTAGTATAAATATTGTCACCATATGTGTCATGAAACCTAGTTTTACTATTAATATATTGTCAGCACATGTGTCATGGTACTTTTCTGCAAGTATTATGTGCCACCCTTTTTGCTAGTAGGGTCTTCAATTCTCTATCTTTGGGCACTTTGTGTATCTGTTTCTGCTTTGCTATTTGATGAACATCATTGCTTTAATTTCTACACCTAGCTACTTGCACTGCAGTGTCAAGATTCTTAATTACCACGTTTCATCCATGGCATCCGATTGTTAAAAAACGAATAATAAATACACATGAAAACAAAAACACCTTCTTTTGAAGATATACTATATATGAATTTTAAGGATATTCATATATGGCTGCTAAAGTTAAACATTACAAGATGTACACAATATAATATGCCCATGGAATAAGTCATTATGCTCTAGCTAGCTTTCAACATCAGCAAAAACAATAATTTTTAATTTTTATTTTTCTCCATTTCCTCTCACATTATTGTACAAAAAAGCAAAAACCCTATGAGAAAAATATTAGTGTGTTTACTTTTCCTTTGGATTAGGAATTTGTTTATGGACAAAAAGACCACTCAATTTATCTTCAAGTGCATCTGTATTCGTGCTCTAACGAATTTAAACGAGCTTTCTCCTTGCACTTTTGTGGTTGGATATCTTGCACACCCTACAATCTGGTCTTGGTGCTGACTTGGATCAAGATACGTTGTTTAGTTTAATTGACTTTGGCGAGAAAGTCATAATCGGTGGAAAGAGCAGGAGGATGGCAACCGTGGATGCACCGGCAGCTGGCGGCTGGCATTGGGACAAATTATTGTGTGGACCATAGTTTTTATGTTATAAAATAATGTATATTTAGTACAAAAATAATGTACTTTTAATATATTAAAAATGTACTTTATATTCAGGGAAATTATCTTATTTGAATACTAAAAGTATATTAACTTAATAGGGTAGCTCAAGTGGCAAATGAGCTTTTTTTGTATGAGAGAATTTTGGGATAACCCGGGTTCGACTCTCACAAGTGACAATCCCCTTTGGGGCCAGCTTCTGTGCCTCTCGGAGCGAACTGGGTGGCTCCTGGACCGTTAAACGGACAGAGAAAGATCTAGACCACAATGTGTGGTTGACACCAAAAAAAAAAAGGAATAAGGGTCAAATAGGCCATCGTACTGCACACAATAATACAATTAGGCCACTGAACTAAAAAAAAAACAACAATTAGGCCACTGAACTAAAAAAAACAACAATTAGGCCACTAAACTAAGCAATTTCATTCAATTATTCTAATTTACAGGTTTTGTAGGTTACTAACAGGTCACCCAAATAATTTAAAATATTTTTAAAAAAATTATTATTTAAAAATAATAAATTAAAATTAAAAAAAAAAAAAAAAAAAAAACATTAACCGTCTCTGCCGGAGACGAGTTTCTTGTCTCCGGCCATGGACGAAGAAACTCTTCGTCTTCGGCAGAGACGAGTTTTTTTTTTTTTTTTTTAATTTATTATTTTTAAATAATAATTTTTTTTAAAATATTTTAAATTGTTTGGGTGACCTGTTAGTAACCTACAAAACCTGTAAATTAGAATAATTGAATGAAATTGCTTAGTTTAGTGGCCTAATTGTTGTTTTTTTTGGTTCAGTGGCCTAATTGCATTATTGTGTGCAGTTCAATGGCCTATTTGACCCTTATTCCAAAAAAAAAAAAAAAAAGAATACTAAAAGTATCTTATTTTTTATAATTTACATATCGTATTGCAGGCTGCGATCACTGGATTTGTCCTTATCGTTCGACCACTATAGGGGCCCATAATGTAAAGATTCTTCTAACACATATATTATTCCAATTGGGCCTCTCCTATTTGGATTTGTACTCTTCCAACAAAGATGGGCCCTAATTTGAAGCCCAACTCTATTATGAATGTGGGCCAAGTATTCGTGGATACTTTACCCATAACGGGTATGAGTAGACAGTCAGACGTTATGCCATGGAACCGTGTTCACCATTCATGGTGAACACAGTTCTAACGGTGTTAGTACACTGTTATCTTTTTTTTTTTTTTTTTTTTATTTAATTGCGTGACTTTTCTTCTTTATTTTCACATTTTGCGGTTTCACTTTAATTTGAGGTGAACAAAAATTTCGGACATTCATAAATTATGAATTCATGCCTGCACATTCATTTGGAACCATGCCTACACATTCCCGTCCGAAATCACGGACATTCATAAATTATGAATCCATGGCTGTACATTCACTTTGGAACCATGCCTACACATTCACTTTGGAACCATGAGATTATGAATTTTCTGTTATAAGATTATGAATTTTCTGTTATGAGATTATGAATTTTCAGTTATGAGATTATGAATTTTCTATTATGCGATTATGAATTTTCTGTTATGAGATTATGAATTTTCATTACATTCATAATTTCGGACATTCATAAATTATGAATTCATGCCTGCACATCCACTTTGGAACCATGCCTACATATTCCCGTCCAAAATCACGGACATTCATAAATTATGAATCCATGCCTGCACATTCACTTTGGAACCATGCCTACACATTCACTTTGGAACCATGAGATTATGAATTTTCTGTTATAAGATTATGAATTTTCTGTTATGAGATTATGAATTTTCAGTTGTGAGATTATGAATTTTCTGTTATGCGATTATGAATTTTCTGTTATGAGATTATGAATTTTCATAGAATTCATAATCTCATAACAGAAAATTCATAATTTGATCAAACGACGTGCCGTTAACTCCACATCCGCGAATTTTATTTTTTTTGGCCTAAAAACGACGTCGTTTTGTCTTGTGTTCACCATTCTCGGTGAACACGATTCCATGGCATAATTTGCGGTAGACAGTATACACTACAAGAATTAGATGTTTTTAGGATTGTGTTTCTATGTAATTGATGGTTTTGTAGGAACTGGGTCCATAAAAAATTGGGTATATAAGTATAGAATGGCGAAGGAAAATATTAACTTTATTATTTGGGACGGTCTAAAATAGTATATACAAAGTTCGATATATTGGTTCAAAATGACGATTCAAAGAATAGATAAATAATAAATACTATAGTCTTAATAATGAAATAGAAACAACATTGTTATCGTTAGGAGTCGAACCCTAGTATGCTAGCGGAATGGATGTCTTTTAAGGGAAAAGAGGGGTGTCTATTTATATTGTTGAAGGACTCAGGGATGGTTGACAAATGGACGACATCGGACAACCTTCATTCTTCTTCACACACGTGTCCCCCCACTACTTTGCTTCTAGCGCACTCCCATGCATAAGTAGAGCTTCATGCCCTTTAATACACAAGATCTTGAGTGGTTTGTGTGGTTAGTGCTTGTGTTATTAAGTGAGAGGTTGTGGATTTGATATCCCATGGTAACACTGTACCTTTAATAATATTTTGCTTCAAGCTTCCTTCTTACCTTAGCCCAATAGATTTTTATAATTCTTATTGGGCCAACACCTCACCCATAAAGATGGACACCCTTCCCCAATAAAATGGCTCCTGGGACTTGGCAACCCGTTTCCGGGCTACTCCTATCTATTTATACTACTAAAGGCATCAACATCAATGGTTTTTGCAACTTTTAGGTCCATGTGGAGGAGAGAGAGGCTTGGAAAGAGAATGGTGAGTTCCTTCTGTAAGACCCAAGTTTTTTGTGGGTCTCACAGGAGAGAGAAGGCAGAAGGCTACTGCCTTTGTGCGTGTTTCATTCACATACAGCGCCTAGTCTGACGCGTGCAATGTACGCGCAAATGGCGTGTTAACTGCATTGTTTTTTTCTTTTCTCTTACTTTTTGTGTCAAATTTGCTTCTTCTTTTTTCTTTTTTCTTCTTCTCGCTACTTCCCCTCTTTCCTAATTGGTACCTCTTAAAAAATAATAAAAAAAATAAATAAATAAAAAAAACCACTCCAATTTAACTTGCTCTAACGAAACATATCATACAACTTTATTCATCCATTCTTTACCCAAATTGAATATCTATATTAATGTGAAAGGGCGTGGCTGGTTTTCCAACATGATCATTAATATGGTTGACAAATTAGGTGGTGATGTTGGAGTTGGCGGATATGTGGTGGTTCGGAGAAGTGTTTGTGCGTGTGTACGCGCGCGCGCGCGCACACACACACACACATATATATATATATATATATCGTATGAGAATACACTTTTTGAAAAAAATTAAGAATCCATTAAATACGGAACGGATCAAATCAGATTTTTTAAAAAAATGTGATGATATTTTTATAATTATTTTTAATTTCACTTTGCAATCTTAAACACTTAAATATGTAATATTTAACAACTAAATATGCAAACCTGGATAAATTTTAAAAATCAATGAAAAACAAAATTTTAAACCTAAACCGTAAATGTTGGACCCTAAGCAGTAAAAAGTGAACTGCTAAATCAAATAAAATAAAAAACTCAGTCATAAACTCTAAAATCTAAACATTAAATGCAATGCACTCGCGCATTTTGACAAGTGCAATCTTTTATATCCACGAGTGTACAATAGGTAAAGTTTACTCTTGTGTAATACACCGTAATTTGTAAAGTATCTCATTTTGTGAGACAAGCTTAACTAAGAGGATATTGATTTTATTTTTGTTTTGAATATCAAAAAGATATTAATAAGAATTGAACTTGTAACTTTTAAGTATAAAAATTATACTCTATTATATTCACTCGATCACCTCATTTGAGTTCGGAGGAATATAGTTTTGATTGAATTAAAAGTTGGAATTTAATAACAAATTAAAGTAATAATTTCACGCACTCTTAGACTACTTTGAATTCTCTGAATCATTAAACTACATGCACTTTCCTAGTTTCCTCATCACTTATACATGTTTTTTTACCCTTAAAAATCCGTTAAATCCAATTAAGAAACATTAATAACTATGACACAAAATTCTATAATTTCCTTTTTTAATCTGATTACAACTTACAAGTTATCATAATTCTCTCTCTTTTCTTCTCTTTATTCAATAATATTTAGAAACAAGGTCAAATAAGTTATCGAATTACACACGATATTACAATTAAGTCATTAAATTTAAAAAAAAATTATAATTAAATCCTTAAATTAACTCATTTCATGCAATTCGTTCAATTTACATATTTTTTCAATTTATAGCAGGTCACCTAAATTTAAATAATTAAAAAAAAAAAAAAAAAAAAAAACGTCTCCGCCGGAGACGAAGAAACCTTTGTATCCGGCTAGAGATGTTGAAGGTATCTTCGTTCCCATGGCCGGAGACGAAGAAACCTTTTAAATAATTATTTTTAAAAATTATTTTTTAAATTTAGATGACTTGTTAAAAACTGAAAAAACCTATAAATTGGACGAATGGCATAAAATGAGTTAGTTTAGGGATTTAATTATATGACCAAATTGCGGAATAATATTTATCCAATCAAACATTATAGTTTGCCTTGCCATGAAATACAATATAATTATTAGTATTGTTGTAAGTATTAGAGTAAATACTCAAAATGGTCCCTCGACTATAGCTAAATTCACAAATTGGTCCCCGACTTTCAATTTCAACCAATTAAGTCCTTAACTTTGTAATTTTGACACGATTTGGTCCTCCATCTATTTGACCGTTTGTTGACCGTGATCGACCATCTCCAGAAGAACCTTCAGCTCTCGTCGAAGCACGTGGAGGCCTCTAGGATGACGTTGCACTGGTTTGGAAACACGTCGTCTTCTTCGCTCTGGTACGAACTCAACTACATTGAATCCAAAGGGAGGATGAAGAAAGACGACCGGATTTGGTAGATTGCTTTCGGCAGTGGATTCAAATGTAACAGTGCAGTCTGGAAATGCAACCAGAACCTTAAAAAACCGACGATGGGACATGAAATTACATATATATCCTCAAAAATCACAGTCAACAAACGGTCAAATAGACAGAGGACCAAATTGTGTTAAAATTACAAAGTTAAGGACTTAATTGGTTGAAATTGAAAGTCGAGGACCAATTTGTGAATTTAGCTATAGTTAAGGGACCATTTTGGGTATTTACTCTAAGTATTATTAGCATCATCATTATTAGTGATGAGATAATCTACTATATATACTAATAAGAGCCCAAGAGAGTTAGGCTTATAATGGGTAGAAAAAATGACGGTCACAGATTTTAATTAAATGAATGGCTCAGATTGATTAAAAGATTAATAAGATTTAAATTTTACACTAAAATTTACTAAAATACCCACACACCGTTACTAATTCCGTTAAAATTTTAAGAATTTCCGTTAGTTCACCGTTAACTTACTCATTGATTTCAATAAAAAAAAAAATGTCTTAGGTTCAAACCTCACCCCAATCAAAGTTGGCATAATTAGTACTCTATTTTACTCTTATTAAATTATATAAATAATAATTTAGTAGCTACAACAAAAAATTATAGATATGTAATAGGGCCAGTAACATTCAAAAAAAAAATTTAGAATTATGTGTCCACAATGCCTTTATTCAAAAAAAAATTATTCATTATCAATAAATTAAATAAGAGAAATAATTGTATTAGTTATATTGTCTTTATTTTTCTACCATATAAAAATTCTTTATATTCAAATTTATTAATTGATTATATTCGCTACATTGTCTTTACAATGTCTTAATTCAGTGAAAAAAAATTATTCATTATCAATAAATTAATTAAGAGAAATATTTTCATTAGTTATATTGTCTTTATTTTTCTCAAATGTAAAAATTTTTACATTCAAATTCATCAATTAATTATATTCACTACATTGTCTATTATCTTTTTTGTGCACTATTTTTCTAATTAAATATCAAAGTTATAATACAAAATAATGCTATATATTTATTTACCAAGTATTTTATTAATACCATGAAAAAAAAAAATATATATATATATATAATTAATAAAGCCAACCTTGCAATGTCCTTGTTTGACAATCAGCAGTTAGCGGATTATATTAGCGGATTTGACCAACGAATTTATTTAATTATTAACATTGGGTAGAAAAAATGATCGCCAAATTATTAAATCAAATGAATGGTTCAAATTGTTCAGGTTTTAATTTTTTTTTTTAAAGTTTTTCTAATTTATCCTTAATTATATGATTATCCATTTAACTTTTCCGTTAAATACCGTTAATTCACCGTTAGTCTAATTCTAATATTAACATCTAATATAGAATTATAATTACACCATTAATCTAATTCTAATATTAAAGTCTTAATAGAACTTAACCACAAATCCTAATGTCGAAATCTCCTCAAACAATATTAGTATATATTTAATATTTTATGCCCTAATTTTTATTTGTTCTCCCTTATGTCCCGTATTTGGTTTCAACCATACCTATACAATTATTTTATTGACAATTATAATCAATCTTGACTATATTATCTTGCATTTGTAAACTTAGAATTACCTATTTAACCCGCACGGACTTAGCTCAATAGTTTAGTGGGCAGTATTTGGGAGAAGAGACCAAGGTTTGAACCTCGGCGGCGGCAATGCGGGAATTATGTCCAAAGTGTGCCGATTCCTTGTTCGCACCGGCATTTGGTCCTGTCTGCTGAACCATTGAGTCACCGTGATTTACAACTTCCCACAATGCTCTGTCGGGTCGGAGTGTGGGGGACCCTTGGGGTTGGGGACTCAACCTTTGGGAGAAGAATTACCTATTTAAATACGCAAATTCAACCTTCAATTATCTATGCATGAACAATTTCAATATAATCTTGCCTTAATATACTTTAAAGTACTTATTTAAAAAAAAAAAACATTGGGCATTATCCAATTGCGCAATGCGCGTAAAAAACTAGTCCTATATATACAGAGTATAATTATTTATTTTTCAAACACCTTTGACCATTGATTGAGATTAATCCGTAATTTAGCGTGTTATACACACATATACATAGTTACGTGCACTCCAAGTAAATCATTTGCCTATATGCTATGGAGTCTGTACATTTCTATTTTCAGTTCATGACCCAAAAATGAAGTCGCCACCATACATTATTCCCTATATGGACCAAACCGCAAAACAAAAGGAAATAAACTAAATAAATATTTATATTAATTAACGTGAGACAGTTGGCCAACGCGTATGGAGTATGTACGATATGATTCCTAATCTGTTATATACATTCATATATATCATATATTCCACAAATAAAACTAAAAATTAAAAAAAAAAAAAAAAAAAAAACGATTGCAAAATATTTATTTTAAAATCAAGCAAATATATTACTGTGTGATATTGTTTTAAATTTTCTTATTGTATAATTTTTCATGATAAAAATCTTTATTGCTGATTTTTTTTAGTACTATCTGTTCATAATTATTTTAGACCTATTAGTAAATTACTAAATTATATATATGTAAAGTGTTTTGTGATGCGAATGTATTAATGGCACGGTTTACGGGCCTTCCAAGAAACTCCTTGGGGGCCTGGAAGGATCCTCTGGATCATAAGATGCCGTCAGTGTTATTTTGGTAAATTTGGCATACAGTCCCTTTTCCCCATTAAATAGCTAGCCTTCTCCATTAGCTCAGAACACAAATTAGAAGGCAACAGAGAGAGAAAGAGAGAGAGATGAGGGGAGAAATGGTTCAGACAAACGGCGGCGCAGGGTCGCCGCAGTCGAATACATTCTGGGAGTGGAAATCTCCATTGCCGTACATATTTATAAGCTTAGGTTTAGCGTTCGGTATCATTCTCGTGGCGATCATCGTCCTGGCTTGTTCCCTGCACAAGCAGTCCTCCGGCGGCGCCGACGGTGACGAGAAATCGGGATCGGCGGTGAGCCGAAGCGCGGAGATGAGCCCGAGTTTCATCGTCGTCATGGCCGGCGACGCCAAACCCACCCACCTCGCCATTCCCCTTCCTTCTAGCTTCATCGACAAAGCTCCGTCGTGATCAATCTGACGCCGCCAGAATCTAATAACCCCATAGAATGTAATCTTGTTTTTTTTTTGGTTTGGTTTCTGTAGCATCCATGAAAATGTATTTAAGAAGATGAAAGTTGATAGATGTAATCATGGCCGGCAGTCAGTTTTTACAGTAATGGAAAAACAATTTTGGCATAAATAAAAGAATAGCCAAATCCTTAAACTTCCTCTTCAAGTTTTTCTTTTTGCAGTGATTAATGTTCAAAGAATTATATATGTTCTCTGTAAACATCGGATTTTCCGAAGCAATCTGTTCATGAGGATCGAACAAACTATTCATGTCCCCATCAAACTATTCAATTCCAGACCACACCCATATATTACATAAAGTAATCAGATTGTACCAATGTTGCAGAACGCGCTAGGCCCTAATCAGGCATTCAAGGGTATCGCCTTGGCCGTCAAGTAATTGGAGTATATCATTTTTAGTTAGGGTTAAGAGTTGTCAGACTCTTATATAATTCCTAAACTAGTCAATGCATATGTTAGATGGTTAGTTGAGTACATGGTTGGAGAAATATAAAACAAGAGTAGCCAAGTAGGCAAAAAAATATTGGGTCGAGTTAGGCACTGACTCAATCGAATTAGGCGCCTGACTCGATTGAGTTAAATGCTCAACTTGGCGTAGGGCGCTTAGTCGATCGGCCAATTAAAAGTCGCTTAGGGCTGAAATTGTCTGGTGTTTAACACCTGGTTGGTACCTAAGCGATCACCTAAACCGATTTTTACAACATTGAATTGTACTTATATATATGGATAGTTCAGTTGATTCTTGATAAACTGTGGGCAATACAATTAATCAGATTGCAATCAGTTTCATTCCAGTCCACTACTGGTGCATCATATCCTATCTCTTTGAAAGGATGAGGGAGCTAATTATGGTAAGGATGTGGACATGATGATGGGTAAATACATTATGTGCGTTTCTAGGGATGGTGGCGTTTATTGTATTCAATTCAACGGTGCGTGGGTGGTATAGTACAATATAATTGTAATATTATTTTGCACTTTTGCGCTGATTCTGATGTCATGATGTGGTTAGTAGATATGGGAAGGGAGGACGCGGCGAGGCGTCAAGGGAAAGTGGCAGGAATTCAGTAAAAAATTAAAAGGAGGGTGGCGACAAACTTTAAAACTATTTAATGCATTCTGGGAAAGTCTGTCGAGACTCGAGACCGTGAGTAGTGGTTGCGCCGTAACTGCTGCTTTTCTGCGGCATATTCCGTGCTATATTCCGTCTTTGCCTTTTGTCGTTTTTCACCACGAGACGCGGCGACTTAACGGGGTCAACTTTTTTAAGTGAAAACAACAAAATATTACGTTTCAAAATATGGTTAGTCCGAGGTCAATAAATGCTATGGAGTAATATTTTAATTAGTGGTCTTTCTTTGCTTATTACTCATGGTAATATTTTATTTTATTTTTTTCAAAAATTTCATACATTTAAAATATATTATATATTCCAATTTCAAACTATACATATACAGAGTAATATTTGGTAACTTAAACAAATACCTTTTAATACTTCCATAACATTGTTTAACTTAATATCTATTTTACAGAATATAAATGCAAAATAAATTGGATTAAATAGAATTAATGAGTCAATGACCTTATGATCTAGTGATACAAAGTGGTTCTCTCAAATAAAAGGTCATGAATTCAATCTCCAGTATGGACGATACTACGATGCAACAAGAGACAATAGTACTCAAAAAAAAAAATAGCATTAATGAATTATATTATGAATGTTCCCCAAGCTAAAAGAAAACCATCAAATTAGAGTAGGCATGCAATGAAAAGCATTTTTTTTTCCTTCTTCACTTTCTTTCACAATTTTAATTCTTTAATTAAAAAATAAAAATTAAAGAAATTGGGAGAAATGGTAAATCATCTTTATTCTCTTTCTCAAAATATGAGTGCAAGAGTGCAACATTCTTCTATAAAACATATGTGCCATAAGCCCATGACTATCCAAGCCCACACAAAAATCATGCTATGGTCCAGTCCATAAAATACCAAAATGAGCAATCTGCGTTAAGGGAACATCTATTACAACATCTTCATACAACATTAACAGATTTCAATCACCCAAATACACTGGAAGCACCAAGAAGCATAGAGATTAGAGATGTGCCAATTTGAAAACTAAATTAAGGTTTGATTTTAATTCTGAGAAATTTCATACAAGAAGAATTTTGGTGTGTACAAAATCTGTGTCTTGGTCCCGATTCATAAATAATACAATAGGTAACAACAAAACAAACTATAGTGAGCTACTATGGGGAAGAACTGAAAGCCTAGAGCTTTGTCTGGCAGTTATATAAGAAATGGAAAAGGAGAGACTTTAAAGTACTCGAGATGAACAATGAGTGTAATTCAGTTTTCCGTTACCTCAGAGTTGGTGAGGCAATAACAGACAGTTCATCTACATCCCAAAATTGCACATCTGCACAAATTCCATTTCCGAGTCGACATATTTAGTCCATAGATTCTTATATTGGTTCATGGCAATGTCCAACCAAGGTTTCATGTCCCCATTAAAATGGATGACAGCAGCATTATTGATTTCATCCATGCCGACACTTGGATTATAACCAAGGCCAAGCACATGCCACGATCTATCCAATGATTTGGTTGTTGAGTAGAAAGTGAGTAGCCCAGGTGGAAGTGTTCCCATCTTCCATAAGGTTCTATCCTCATTCTAATAAAAAAGCAAAAGAAAAATTTATAATCAGTAAAAAGATCATTGGTAATGGAACAAGGAAAGGAAAAGAAAGGTACATCATATTCTTGTACTCAATCTTTAATAGAAGTAAACTTATTAGCAAATAATAATGGAAAAAAATAATAATAAAAATAAACTCACCAAGTTTTGCCAGTAATGGTACTGCTCAGTCAATTTTTCACGCCTCCAAGCATCAAGGTCAAATATATTCATCCCAAATGCCCACGCACATGCCTTAGGATTGAACTTTTCCCGGATGAGAGGATGAGAGAAGTTCAGATAGTGGGCAAAGCGGTGAAAAGACCCAAAGCAGGTTTCAACAGCTCCATTTACCTTCCCACCCATATCTATGTTCCAAAGTGCTGTCAAATCCTTCTGGACCACAACATCATCATCTAGGAACAAAATCCGATGTAGGTTCGGATACATTTCTGGCAAATAAAATCTTAAGTGATTCAACACTGACAAGTACTTGGGGTTCCTAAATTTCATGCTGTTCACATCTTTAGTTGCATTCTCTGCTCTGTTTTGGAAGTAGAACTTCTGCAAATTTACAGACTCAAGCTGTTTGATTACTGGAACATATGAGGAAGTTAAGAACTTGTAATCCTCTACAGATTTAATTTCAATATGAGCTCCCCCACCTACTGGCCTCATCTTAAACCAGACCTTCATAGCAGCTACATTCATCTTGTCAGTAACAATATGGAAGACATGTTTCCATGGCTCCTTTGCATTCTTTATGACTGAATTCACTACCACAGAGACGGCAATTACATTATCAGAAAATATTGCATAATGATACAAAGTGGGGTCCTCAAACTCAGGCTTAGGGGGTTGATCTCTGTATTTTTCTGGATTGGCAATTCTCTCCCCCATAAGCCGCATTGCAAGACAATGCAAACTCTTTGGAGTAGATTTCGCAGCTATCATACTGGCAAAAGCACCATTTTTCTTAGCCTTCTGAAGCAACTCACTAACAGCAAATATTGTATCCTTTAACTTCTGAATCTTTAACTGATTATCATAAGACTCTTTTGTTTCAGCAATTATTGACCTGGTAACCTTGATTCTATCCTTGACCTCCTTCTCAAACTGTCTCAAAGAATCCTCATCCATAGGCCCATCAGTCTCAAACAAAGCTGTTCGGTAATTGGGTTTCATTTGAATATCTGAGAAAGTCTGAGCCAAGTCCTCAAACAATTTGAGCTGCTTAGAGATATCAAGCTTGAGTTTCCTTGCATAAGCCGCATAGGCATTAACAAGTGCTATATGGTCATTAGCTTGCTGATGTATTAAATCTACTCTAGTCTTTAAGGGATCTGATTGCAACGCCAGGAATGTTCTGTGCACATACACATTTCCAGCAGTCTGCATTGCAGGTTCACATTTAGCAAAATTCATTATAAATCCATAACTTAGAGAGAAGCAGTACTAAACATAGAAAGAATTCAGCTTAAGCTTCATATCATTAATTCATGCACACGCCATTTACATCAAGATTTACAGTATGACTTGCATCATGAAACAAACTATCAGAACTGAAGTTCGAAAACGCCATCTTAGCTTTGGTTGGAGTCAAAAGTACAAAACAAACTCATTCTAACTTCTTTGTTTTGCTATTTAGATCTCCACCAATCAAAGCCAATACTATGTCTTCACAATTAACAAGAGTACAAGTGCAATCATACTGAAAAAAATTGTATTTATACAATTAAAGTCCAGAAAAATAGACGATTCGAATTATCAGAACGAATATCAATCTCACTGAACCTACTCAATCAAAAGCATATGCCAATAGCACATCGAAATTCTACACTGAACAGTTTCACCATTAACGACTGAGCTATGATCTACATATACGATTGGAGAACAAGCAGAAGCACAAACATACACTGAAATCGAAACAGTCAAAGAGAGAGATGACATACGGAGCCGTGGTGAGTGGGGCGGGAGGAGAAGAGCACAGATAGAGTGGCGACGAAGAGTAGAGTGAACATGGCGGAGACAAAGACGCGGTAGGAGAAGAAGTTACGAAGTGCCGATCCGCCGCCAGACGCTCCGCCGACGCCACGGCCTCCCCGGACTGCAACCGCCATTCCAGATCTCTCCGACGGATCTAACGGTCGATAACGATGCAGATGCGCGTGGACTGTATGTAAGATTCCCGATTAAAGCCAAAATATGAGCATTTGCCTGTACGCGATACTGGGATTTTGAGGCCAGTAGAGTAAGCTGGAAATGGGATCTGAAGATGAAGGATGAAGCTAAGAGAGATGGTCAGTCCCGCGTCGGTGGTGTTTTACTGATTTTTTTTTTTATTCCAGTGGATCCGCGTCACACTATGATTACTGCACAATTTGCAATGGAGGGTTATGGAGCCCTATTTTCACATCTTATTGCCGACAAACGCCCAAGTTTTGAAGATTTTTCTATTATTGTCTTTATATTAATCAATGTTCTACTTGTTGTCTCTTCTTTAGTCTTATTTCATCTTATATTTGTGGTTAATTGTTAGAGGTTGGGATGTAATCCAATCCAATTGAATCTAAACAATCAAAATTTACAATTTGATTCGATTTAATAATTGAATATTATAACAAAACTCATTGCTTCTTTAGTTCGAGTTAACAGTAATTGAATCGAATTTAAATATTCACTAAATCGAGTCTAATAAACTTATGAATAACTTGACTAGCTTACACTTTTAGTTAGAGGTTGCAATGTCTTGAGTGCGTATTGAAGAATGAGTCAAAAACTAATTAGCAGTGGCTTGGTTGATGGAACCCACGGGAACACATAGCGAAAGTGAATCTTTATAGGCTAATTGTCATTGCTTATGAGCTCGAACCTAATGATATATCCATAGCTAGGATGAAGCTTGGATGAAACTAAGTGGAGATCCAAACCGAGTGATATTGGAGAATTAGCGAAAGAGTTGTGGTTATATATGCGTGAAATGTGATTCGATTGAGCTAGTTGGTTCTAATTGACACTATAAAAAGAAAAATATATAGGCATATAATAATTTTTATGGTTGGATACAGATTGTCTTATACATACATGCTTCGTTTAATTAAGTTGTACTCTAACAAGTTCAAGACTCAGTCCAAAACCAGATTGACGCTATATATTGATAAGGACCGTCTTAATCCTCAAAAGAGAAGGTCCAAACTCAAGTTTTGGCACTTTAATAATAACTCAGTAAAAATATTTTTCTTTTACTTTTTTAAAAATGTATACAATTTTTTTTTTATAATTTCTTATAAGTGACTTATTCATGATATAAATAAACAAGGATAAAGAAAAACATTGACCAAAATAACTCAATGAGTAATTTGATAGGGAGTAACAAGGAAGAATTTCAATAAATATTTTGATTTAAAAAGAAAAGAAACAAGCACTACGACAACCGCTTTTTTTCACGTATCCAGGGGCGGAGCCAAAGGTGGGCAGGGTGGGCACCTGCCCCTCTCACCCCACCCCCACCCCCTATATAATTTTTGTATGTATATATGTATATATAGTATAGTTTTTAGTATTAATATAAAAAAAACTAGTAAATGTTAACAAGTGAAGAGTTAGATTAGTTGGTAGGACATGTGGTTGGTAATGAAAAAAGTCTTAGGTTCAAATCCTTGCATTAACATAATTTTACATATTTTTGCGTTTCTTCCCCTATGGCTTCAACACAATCACTTTTTTAATATTTAATATGTGTAATTTATAATGTGTTTTCTATTCAAACTAGTATTTGCCCCGTGCACTGCACGGTATGTAAATTAAAAAGTATTAATTGTGTGGTTGTTATATTATAAATTGTGTGAAATAATGTGGTTATAATTTATAACATATAAATGAAATATGTGTGGGAATTCAACAAAAATAATATGTAAATGGTATATTATAAATAGTTGCAATTAATGTTAGAAAACTTACATGTCATAATTTTTATTATTGAGTATATTTCTTTTTTAGTAGTAGCTAAACATGTAACAAGAGTTTTACTTGTCAATTCAGTGTAGAATATGACATGTGTCCACTTGATGGAAAATGTTTGAATCCTGTCAATTCCAAGCGGACATACCATATCACTCGAACCCACCCAAGGGAACAATACAAAATCTTTATTATTTTTAGTGATTTATAGAAAAGTCTACAATTCTTATTTAAAGATACAATAACATATGTGATCTAACCAACAAAGGACAACATAAATAGGAGGTAAACTAATGTAGAATGTGCAATGTGCATGCTGAATTACTTATAGAGTTTTAACTTTGAGGATAAGCGGCAGCAGGAAAAGGGCAGTGAAATTGAATGTGTGTGAGCATTTGGCGAAGCCCGGTGGCTTCTTCTTTGAGCTGAACGTTCTCTTGAACTGCCTGACCATGGCGTTCCGTGGCGTGGTTTAGCTTGCCCGAGAGCTGGTGGTTTTCGTTCCGGAGCCAAACCACCTGCGACCAAAGCTCATCCAGGTGCCTCTGCTTGCGCATGCGGGACCGCCTTGCGGACTCCCGGTTGGATATCATTCGTCTCTGTTTCCTCTCGTTTATCATCAGGTTCTGTTGCTGCTCCTCGGCTTCGTCAGAGGTGGTTGAGTTGCTGCTAAAGTAGCATGCCGGTTGGGAGATGATGAAGTCTTGAACTTGGGGATTCATTTGGAGGAGATGATGGTATAAAGGGTTGGAAAGTGTGGTGGGAAACTGCTGGAATGCAGAACTGGGGTCGTTAACGTTGTTGCTCAAATCAAAATGAGTAGGGAGTTGATTTTGGTTTGGAGCAAGTAGGTAGTGGAGTTCTGTGCTCTCAGTGGGCTGCATGGTTTGGTTTGGTTTTGCGTTGCCCAGGTTTTGAAGGATGGCGAAATTAAAAGGGTTTGGGGTGAGTGGAAATTGAAGGAGAGAGGCCTCTTTATAAGGTGGAAAAGTCTTTGGTTTCGAACCTTTATTGCAGGCTAGCTCGAGTGGTCGATCACTAAACTTAAAGTTAACATTTCAGACTAAAGCGAGGTTGGACTGCCCCAATAATATTTTGGAGCTAGGGTGTCATAGAAGTTCCGTAGATTAGAGATTGGACTCCCAAATTACAATGGATATGTGGGGATTCCACTCCCACCAATAATATATTGGAGGGGTTAACTGGATTGCACATTAATGGTTATATGCGCAACACGCCCTCTCACATGTGCTCTGATACCAAATTGAAGCATGTGTTCCATCTCAACTAAAAGTCTAAGCTGATAGTTGGATTGCACATTAATGATTATATGCTCAACATCTCTAAATTGAAAATTAGACCTCTAAGTTGCAAGGAAAGTGCGGAGATAGATTTCTTGTACGCAAAATCAAAATCAAATACAGGGAGCCCAGTTTACAGATCCCTCACTATGGGGAATCTCAAATCTGTTGTACTGTCCCTTGTACTTTATATGGCCCATCTCTGCACCCCACTCAAGTGACCGATCCTTTCCCATCTTCCATGGCCAGTGAAGGCACACATTTTTCCACACGGCAATCATCTGTGCTGCCTAATCAAGTTTTTGCATCAATTCTTGGTTGATTCACTCAGCTCTGCTGAATCTTCAGATGATAAATTGCAATAATTCTTGGCTTGCCGGCAGTGTTTATTTGATCTTCAGAATGCAAAAGCCCTCCCAAGTTGTATAGTTTGGCTGTGCTGTATTGAACTTGACAACTTGCCACCTTTTTCTCTGCAATAAAATGCTACATACATTGAAGTGAAGGAGTTGGAACACACTGTTCATATTGCTTTCATACTTAATCAATAGTGTGGGTAACAAAGATGTTCCACTACTTGAAGCAGAATTGGGTTTTTGCCTTTGTCTACCTTAATTTGGCACAACATCTTCATGTTGTTATCCAAAATCGTCAATTATACCATAAGAGTTAATTTTTTTACCCACACAAGTCTTATATATTAGCCCGAATTTCTATCAGTAGTTAGCAATGTTGCAGAAGGCACTAGGCGCTAGTCAGGCGTCCGAGGGGCGCCAAGCGTTTAGGAACTTCCTAGGCGGTCGAATAATTTGATTATATCCTCTCTACTTTTCCCATTCAGAGATGTGAGTTGTTAGACTATTATAATCCTATGAACTAGTCAATTAGTTATGGTTTGTGTTTCAGTAGGTTGAGAAAGTATATGAACAGATACTACAATGTAATAGAACCAGTAGCTTTCAAAAAAAAAAAAAAAAAAAAAAAAAGTTATGGTTAGTTGTGTTCATGGTCGAATGAATATAGAAGAGGAACAACCGAGCATACAAAAAATATCACTCATCTGAGTTGGGCGTCGACTCAACCTAGTTGGACGCCAACTAGGCGGAGTTAGAGGCCTCTAGCCAACTAAAAACTGTCTAGAGATGAAATCGTCTCGGCCTAAGGGTGCCTAGTGTCTAGGTGCTGGCTAGATCGATTTTTACAACACTAGTAGCTAGTCCATGTGGACAAGTACTGATCCAAGGTAAATGTGGATATCATCAAATTGGTAAAGGTGTATATATAATACGGAGTAACAAACAAGCTGAATCAGTGTGTCGGATGGTTATTGGAGAAGAAGTTTGACTAGCAATCTTTAGGACCATAGTGCAGCTTTATGATTCATGGTCTACTGGAAGGTAGGAGCAAGTAGCAAGCAGGTGTTAAAGTAGAGGTGATATGTATTCTGGACTGGAGACACCATTAATCTTGTGGTGCTTCTCTGTTGCTTTGCACGAGTTGTTTCTCAGTGCCCTTTTGTCATTTTTCATTTTCTTGACAGGATAAGAATGAATCGTCCAATTAATTGATTCTTAAATGACAGATTGTATCTAATAATATAGGTGGTGATTAGCTGTGCTTCTTGTTATTACAAGTATTGGTCCTCCAATTCCATTAAGAATCGTTATGTTACAGTAATTTAATTCCATCACAATTTTTATAAGTGCAAAGTGTACAACTTAGGCCATTTGGCATTTGCACCCAAGGATAAGAATAAATCGTCCAAGATTTTACAATGATGATGATTTGATTATGTTTAAAATTTAATTTTAAAAAAAATATTTTTTGGGTCAGATTTTTTGGCTGTATTATACTTTGCTTCTGGTCTCACTCTCACTAAGTCACTGTTCCTTTTTTGTTCAATCTCCTTTTATCATCTGCTTACTGCCTAGACATTCCATTGTTCAATTCCACAATGATTGAAGCAATAATCCTTCGCACCCACTCTCTCCGGTACATATTATAGTTTTGTGGTAGAACATGTGGTACTATAATGTACTACTGTTTTTTTATTTACCCTTTTGACATAATTTAAAGATCTCTACCATGTGTCGCTTTCTTATGCTCAACACATAACCTGTAGTGGGACCATTTTTGAAGATGAGTGAGAATTGCATGAATGGAGAATGAATAATAAATAATTGTAAATTTAGTGATATGTCATTTTAAAAGTGAGAGAAGATTGCATGGGTGAAGATAGCCTAAGAGGCTAAGAGTATATTGCAATATTTTCATTCAAGTTGATTTTATTTCTGTATTATATTCTCTCATGTTTTGAAGTATATATATATATATATATATATATATATATATATATATATATATATATATATATATATAACTTAGGACTCCCATGAACCCGTCTCAAGGTCTATGTAATTATAGGTTTTCCGACTTTTCGTTATTTGTACCCTGTTGTGCACAAAGAGGTATTGATAGAAGTAAGATTAAATATTGATTCAACGGTCATTTGTGGAGTAAGAGTCTTCTTATTTTTGTTCTTTAAATTGATCCACTTCTAGAGAATGAAATATATATATATATATATATATATATATATATATATATATATATATATATATATATATATTTAAAGGTTTACAATAAAATTAAACTTGACACTACAGCAAATTAAACTCAGTATGAAAATTATTATGTGGATCCGGGTTCAAATATTCACAATTTACTTTTTAAAAATTCACAATTTGTATATTGCGAATACACAATATTAACATATATAATTGATTACTTTGTTTTGTATTCACAAGTTCCTTTCAAATACTGCGGCCACACAATACTAACAGATTAGGATTTGATGACCCTTTATTGTATTCACAAATTCTCTTCTACAATTGTTATGTGTTTTTTACTTGAAAACACAATTTATATTCTAGAAGTCCACAATTTCAATACTAAAAATGCACAATTTATACGTCGTTAAGGACCATGGTCCACCTTACAAGGTGGACCCTGGTCTATAGTATAACAATTTAACTCAATATATACCCTCAAATAATGACTACAAATTTTTCTCCTAAAAATCAAAACCATTAAGGTGAAACTTTGGAACTCTTGAGAGGTCTAAAGTGGCAATCATTATTGTATGGATCATATTTTGTCTATTGTAAATAATGTACATTCAATACAAAAATAATGTATATTGTATTCAGGAAATGTACATTATTTTTATTCTGAGTGTACATTATATTGTATAATGTACATTCAGTACAAAAATAATGTACATTTAGTATATTAAAAATGTACTTTTTATTATGGTCCACATAACATTATGTGGACCATGGTCCACACAATAATTTGCCCCAAACTGGACACCAATCGTTATGCCTTGGACCCGTGTCCAGCATGCTTGCTGGACACGGGTAACAGTGCCGTTAGGCACTGTTATCTCCTTTTTTTTTTTTTTTTTTTTTTTTTTTAAAAATTTCAGATCACTTTATTATAGAAGTATATGTTCATAATTTTATTACTATATGTTAATAACTATACATTCATAACTCCATAACTGTACGTTCATAACTCTATAACTGTACATTCATAACTCTATAACTGTACATTCATAACGTCATAACTGTACATTCATAACTCCATAATTGTACATTCATAATTTTTGAAGCTCTATGTTCCCAATTTTAGAGCTCTATGTTCATAATTTTATCACTATATGTTCATAATTTTATCACTATATGTTCATAATTGTAAGTTCATAATGTTAGAGCTCTTTGTTCATAATTCGATCAATAACTGTACATTCATAATTCCATAACTGTAGATTCATAATCTCATAACTGTAGATTCATAACTCCATAACTGTAGATTCATAACTCTATAACTGTACATTCATAATCTTCGAAGCTCTATATTCACAATTTTAAAGCTCCATGGTCATAATTTTATCACTATATATGTTCATAATTGTAAGTTCATAATGTTAGAACTCTGTGTTCATAATTTCATAATTGCATAACTGTACATTCATAACGGCATAACTGTACATTCATAATCAAAAATAATAATAATAATAACGCCGTTAACGGCAAAACGCGCGCGAAATTTTTTTTTTTTTTAACTAAATGACGCGTTTTTTTTAAAAAACGATGTCATTTTGGGCCCGTGTCCACAATTCATTGTGGACACGGGTCCAGGGCATAATTTGCCACTGGACACCATCAATCATTAAGTTGTAAGGCCTTTGTTTATGATTGGGCTTCCAGTATTCCACACATTAGGCCTTTCTTTTTTTGGGGTATTTGGAGCTTACTTTATAATGATCCACTACATAAAAAAGTGGCCCTCATTGTGTATGGCCCTGCGGTCCTTAATTTATTTCATAAATGGGTTCCATTAAAAAAAAAAAAAAAAAAAAAAAAAAAAAAAAAAGAGAAGAAAAGGAAGTTCTACTACTCTAGTATTCCCTCACTTTTACTTATATGATGATATGACGAGCACTGATCAATTTTTATTTTATTTTATTTTATTTATATGAAGTCCTAATAAAAGTATCTATACTAAAATTTTATGTGTCG